AATAATAAATTATATGAAATTCAACCCAAACTAGAACAGCGAAGTCCTTCGGATCTCTCCAGAAGAGACGAAGTCATTTTTACTCGATTGCGCATCGGACACACGGCCCTGACCCACAAATACCTCCTACAGGGAGATGAGAAGCCGTTCTGTGTCGGATGCGACACAGATTTTACCATTAGACACATTTTAACAGAATGTCTAGACTTTGGAGAGATCCGAAGGAAATATTATAAATGCAAGAAATTGCAGGATATTTTTTCCGTCGTTGTTCCCAGCAGAATTTAAAATTTTATAAAGGCCATTGGCCTTTATGGCGAGTTGTAGAGTGAATTTGATATTATTAAAAAGTTTTATTGTTACTTAAAAGTTGTTTTAGATCACAAATGTATTTACACCAAATTTGAATATTTTAACTTTTTAGCATTTTAAAGTAAATTAGTTAGCCAGTCGTGAAGTGAACTTTCGCAGAGGTGAAACAACTTGTGTTTCGCGCGCTCATATGTCCTTAGCAGTTGCGAGCGCCGTAAAACCTTATACTATACACATACATACAGGAGGAAAAAGATCTGGTTCTCTTGGGAGTGTGAAGATGCAGTAAAGAAAAAGAAGGCAGCGTATCGAAAGGCCGTCAACAACACCACCATAGAAAACAAGATCAATTAATTTAAAGGCTCAAGCTGTGGCACGTTAATGCCTCAGGGAGAGCAAAAGACAATCATTCCAAAAATACATCTCCAAAATCAACAGCCAGACAACACTCAACCAAGTTTTCAAAATTGCTAGAAAATTCTTAGGTAGACGAACAGACACCATTCGGCACGTCCAGAGGCTAGATGGAGTCACAGCTGAAACACAAGTAGACATCGCAAACACAATAGCTACATCTCTCGCCAAACACTCATCCCAAGCAAACTACAACACCACTTTTCAAAACATCAAAACTAACAGAGAAAAACAACACCTAAACTTCCACTCAAACAACACTCCCTTGTCCGGTCCAGGCTTGACTACGGCTGTCAAGTTTACGGATCGGCAAAACCACACATCTTTAAAATGATAATACAAAACCAAGGACTCCGCCTCGCTCTGGGGGCTTTCCGCACTTCTCGGGTGGAGAACCTCCAGGCCGAGGCTGTTGGCCACCACTCTCACTCAGACGCACACAACTCTCACTACAATACGCAGTTAAAAGAGCTCAACACCGGAACATCCAGCGCACAACTGCATTTTTCAAACAAACCCAGAAACCATAAAGAAATTCCAAAACAACGAAAAAAACTCATCAAACCCTTCGGCCCCAGAATCCTTGTGGACATCAAAAACTTACACTTTTCCAAATTCTTTTCCCCGACCTCCCTCCGTGGCACATAACCAAGGCAAAAGTAGATTTACAGCTGACTACACACAACAAAGAAAGCACAACAGAGACAACCACCCCCTCCAGGAGACGCGCAGCAACTGTTTCAGATGCTGCAGGCAAAGTGGCAGGGAATGCCTCAGACAGTATTCAGCAACCTCATGAACTCGATGAGGAGCCGGGACTCGTCGCTGAACAGAACGTTTGCCCACTGTTGACGTGTCCATCTTACATGGCGTCGGCAAAAGGCAAGATGAGCAGCCTTGAAGAGGTCTGCGTACGGTCTGACAAGGACTAGCCGCTCTCCACCGTGTCTGGATGCGATTTGCAGGAGTCTGTCTCGACATCGGTCTTCATGCTCTTGGTCAACCTGATCTAGGTGGCTCTTGGACACTACCAGTGGCGTTGACACGCTGAATCCATCGTGAAATGACAGAACTCGAAGAACTTGTCGGAGTGAGACACCATCTTGTACCCAAGCAATGGTTCGTCTTCTGTTTAAATCAGACAATTTCTGTCGAGGAGGCATGTTTAAGCCTAGCCCTACAGCAACAGAATGGTATATCCACAGCACAAATGAGTGAGTGCAACTCGTTCACGAGACATGAATCTTGCACGTGAAAACTGCTTTTTGAGCCTTCATCATTTTTCCTGACGGTTAGAGCGAGAAAATAAAGATCGACAATTGGAAAACATTGGACCTTTTTGCCCCCTCTCCAGCTCAACGCACAGGAGTCACGTGCATTTCAAACCCGCGTGTGAACATTAACTGTTAAGTCATAGAGTAACATTTCACCAATATCTAGTTTTACTAAACTCTCGAAAGAATGCATGCAAAATATATCACTGTTCCTTAACTTGTGTTGACACTTAAGTATTGGTGTATCATCAATTTGACAAACAGATGGATAATGATCTCATGATTGTTCAATTGTTCTTCTAAGAACATTAACTGCATTATTGCAGAGAGGTGTGAGTATGAAGGTGTAAGTGGTCGTTGCATTTGTGCCCACCATTTCTCGGATTACAGAGTTTCTAATTTTGTCTCGCCTGGTCTTGTTTACTGCTTTTCTAAGGCATCGCATTTCACATGTTGTAATTCTTTGCTTTAATGTCTTGTTCGTGGTCCATGTTTGGCATTGATAGGTGAGTGTTGGGATGAATATTGTGTTGATCATTTTGAGTTTTGTAGTCATGGGGATGTTAGGATGTTTCATAGTGGAGTAAGCTGGTAACTAACATTATTGGCCTTCTGTACTCATGTTTCAATTAGACAAATCTGTGTAGGGTAAAAATTGAACATCCTGACAAACATGTGAAGAGCTATTGGATGCATGTGGTGCTTCTTGTACAAATTACGAGGCTGAGGCCATCGCCATTAAAGCTGCAATCCTCCACCTGACCAACATTTTCATAATACATCCAAACAAAATCAAGAACACGTCTTCACAGACGGAAAGTCAGTACTCCAAGCTTTGGAAATCTTGAATTTCGAAAGCCCAGCCTGCCTATCTGTGGCTCAAACAATCAACACCTTCATACAGACCTATGCCGTCGACCTGACACTACAATCTCACAGCAATATCCCAGGAAACAAAGCATAGCAAATTCTTTGCCATATCGACAGACCGAAAGGCTAGAACCCAAATGGCCGCTGGATCGGAAAAGTAAAGTAAAAGTGTGTGTCTGTTTATGTTTGTGTATAAAGTGTGTGTGTGTGTGTGTGTGTGTGTGTGTGTGTGTGTGTGTGTGTGTGTGTATGTGTGTGTGTGTGTGTGTGTGTGTGTGTATGTGTGTGTGTTTGGGGGAAAGGGACGAAAATCACTGTATTGGAACAAGGCAATAAAAAGGCGTTCAGTCGGTGTTTTTCTTGAGCAGAGTTTGGTGGAAAAGCTGTGGTGGAAAAGAGGCATTCTGTCAGGAAATTCTTTTTTTTTAAAAGGTGTTTTGTCAGCGCAACCATTTAAAAAAGGAATTCTTGAATGTTAATTTATTCAAAAACTAGTCACACTTCCGACCGAGCAGTAGGGGGTAGATACACTGTGAAAGACATGAATACACAAAGATAGTACATAACAAGATGGGCCACTCAGCCAAAAAAGTGTCCGCCGGAAGTCCGCTCTTTGCTTCAGATAGCGCTGCAGTCTGTTTTGAACATCACTTTCGTTTTTCCAGAAGAAGAATAGGAATAGCACCTCCTTGCGTGCGCAGATCGACTGCTGTTCATCAGCAGTTCGGGTTCATTCAGTGCGGAGTTTTAGGTTGTTTTTTTTTTATTTTAATGACCTCTCGCCTTTCATTCTAAAGTCAAATTAAACGAAGAAAACAAAAAGTCTGCGTATCCATTTTAAAAAAAGCGTTCTTCCAAAATTCATCCAAAAACTTGCTAGTTTCTTTCACTTTGACTCTTTAAACTCAAGTAGGGTAACCCTGTTCGCAAAGGATGCGCATTTGCGAAGAGGGCGCCACCGAATTTTGAGGACACTTTTTTAATTGGCTCAAAGAGAGGAGTGGCCCCTCTCGTTAATTAGACTCTTTGGAAGACAGTCATTATATTGGCCTGAATTTATCACGGCTTCTTCACGGATGGACAGCATGTCTACCCGGTGAAGCATCCTGGTGCGTTTACAGGGTAGCCATAGCAAAAGGAGAAACTGATCCAGGCCCTCATCGCAAAATGGTGAGGACAAGACTAGTCTTCTGCATAGTCATTTAAAGCCAGTATATGACAGACTGTCCTTCTACTTCACTGCCTGGGTCCTGCCACTCAAAAAGCAAATGAAAGTCTTTATAGCGTCAACTTTAGTGAACTGAAAATCAGACAAAATGTGCCTAGTATTGAAATCAATATGAAAGTATGAGTGCCAACTGTTGGATGGTTTACGAATGAGAAATGTTCCATGGAAATGTACTGAAAATCCCAGGTGATAGCTGTGGGGTTCTAGTGGAGGACGAGGAGGACTCTTCCTCCACCCCCTCTTCTCCCCCTCACCCCTCTTCTATCAACTTTTCTTCTTCTCCTTCTTCTTCCACCTGACAGCCCATCCCTCTGATGGAGTGTGAGGTGTGCCTTCTCCCCTCCCCCCAGCCCCCCCCCCTTCCCAGCCCCTTTGGATTAAGAATCTTGGAACATTGAAGCGTTCTGGGATCCGGTCGTTTTGGAGGCTATTGTTTTTGTGGCTATTCTCCACCTCCCCCTACCCCTCCAGCAGACAAGCCCCTGCCTATGGAGGAAGACAGCTCCGACCCCCCTCCACGGCCTAACCCCGGGAAGGGCGAAGTCTGTCACTCCTCCAAATCCCCCACTAGACTGCCGTCCAATCCAGGACGGCAACCTAGAAACCATTCTGCCTCCCCCGCAAGGAGGAGTTTCTTCGAAGCCGGGCCCTTTGAGCTAGAAAATAAAAACTAAAAAATCATAATGGCGGTCTTGCAATGGAATGCCGGCGGAATCCGACCCTCCATTGCAGAATTGCAACATTTACAGGCCACACTGTGCCTGTATTCAAGAAACAAAATTCGCCCCGGCTTCAACCATAGACTTCAGAGGATTTACTGCGTACCATCACATTCACACGGAGAATCAGATTGCTTCCGGTGGTACCACCATCTACACCGACAACCACACACTCCACAGACAAGTACATCTTAAGACGACCCTCCAGGCTATTGCCGTACGGGTCACCCTGCACAGACCAATCACGATCTGCTCAGTTTACATCCCACCAACTTACCCCCTCAAAATAACCCAACCAAATGACTTAAAATCTCAGCTCCCAAAACCTTTTATTTTGCTAGGTGATTTCAATGCCCACAGCCTTCTCCCCTCCCCTTTGGGGAGACAAACCTATAGCCCTTTGGGGAGACAAACCTATAGACCAGAAAGGAAAAATAATAGAAAACTTTTTATTTCAAAATAACATCTGTCTCTTAAATGATAAATCCCCAACTTACAGAAACAGAGCCACTTATGGCACTTCATCCCTTGACCTCACCTTTTGTACCCCTGACCTAGTCCCAGATCTTGAGTGGTCTGTGCTGGATGACCGTACGGACCATTTCCCAATTCTCCTCAAAAACAATAGCCTCCAAAACGACCGGATCCCAGAACGCTTCAATGTTCCAAGATTCTTAATCCAAATTTCGACCACAACTACAAAAAATTCCACGAAAAGCTCTTAGAAATA